TTTTTTAACATTTTTTATTGATTTATAATCATTTTACAATGTTGTGTCAAATTCCAGTGTTCAGCACAATTTTTCAGTCATTCATGAACATATACACACTGATTGTCACATTTTTTTCTCCGTGATTTATCATAACATTTTGTGCATATTTCCCTGTGCTATACAGTGTAATCTTGTTTATCTATTCTACAATTTTGAAATCCCAGTCTATCCCTTCCCACCCTCTACCCCCCTGGTAACCACAAGTCTGTATTCTCTGTCCATGAGTCTTTAGATTCCACATATGAGCGATCTCATATGGTATTTTTCTTTCTCTTTCTGGCTTACTTCACTTGCAGTGACATTCTCTAGGAGCATCCATGTTGCTGCAAATGGTGTTATGTTGTCGGTTTTTATGGCTGAGTAGTATGGTTTTCTAAATCTCAATTTTATTTATTTCCTCCCTTATCTTTATAATTTCCTTCCTTCTGATGCCATTTGTGGTTTATTGCTGTTCTTCTTCTAATTCTTTTAGCTGGTGGGTTAAATTGTTTATTTGAAGTTGTTCTTCTTTTTTGAAGAAGGTCTGTACTACTATAAACTTCCCTCTTAGCACTGCCTTTTCTGTGTCCCACTAATTTTGTGTGGTTGTGTTTTCATTTTCATTTGTATCAAGGTATTTTTTAATTTCAACTTTGATTTCATCATTAATCCTCTGGTTTTTTAACACCATGTTGCTTAATCTCCATTCTTTCCTTTTTTCTTCTTTATTTCTCTGTAGTTGATTTCTATTTTAATGGCATTGTGGTCAGTAAAGATGCTTGAGATAATTTCTATCTTCTTAAAATTGTTGAGGTTTCTTTTGTGCCCAAGTACATGATCAATCTTAGGTAATGTTCCGTGTGCACTTGAAAAGAATGCATATCCTTTTTTGGGGGGTTGTAATGCTCTCAAAATATCCACCGAATCTAATTTTTCTATTGTATCATTTAATTTCTCTGTTGCCTTATTTATTTTCTGTCTGGAAGATCTCTCTAGTGATGTTAGTGTGATGTTAAAATCTCTGACATTGGTTGTATTCCCATCAATATCCCCTTTATCTTTTTTAGTAATTGTTTTATGTACTTAGATGCTCCTATATTAGCTGCATATATATTAATGAGTGTAATATCCTCATTTTGTACTACTCCTTAAGCAGTATATAATGTCCTTCTTTATCTTTCTTTATGGCCTTTGTTTTAAAGTCTATTTTGTCTGAAATCAGTACTGCTACACCTGATGTTTTGGCTTTTCCATTTGCATGAAATATGTTTTTCCATTCTTTCACTGTCAACCTATATGTGTCCTTCTCCCCACAGTGGATCTCTTGTATGCAGCATATTGAAGATTCTTGCTTTATTATCCAGTCTGCCACTCTATGTCTTTTGACTGGAGCATTTAGTCCATTAACTTTTACAGTAATTAATGATAGATGAGTGTTTATTGCCATTTTGAACTTATATTTAAAGTTGATTGGTTATTTCCTCTTTGTTCCTTTCTTCTTCCTTTTGTGTTTTGGTAATTTTCGTTTGTATTATCATGGATTTTTTTTTGTGACTCACTTGTAAGTTTTTAGCTTTTGATTACCCTTTCTGTAAGTCTATTCACCCATTAATATAGCTGTTTTTATTAAACTGATTGTAATATAATCTAAAATCCATTCTACTGATAAACAGAAATTACAAAAAAAGAATTACTCTGTATTTTCTTGTCCTCTCTCTCACTCTTTTTACTTTATACATTTTTAATTTATTTATAATAATTTTACAGTGCTTTGCCAAATTCCAGTGTAGAGTACAATTTTTCAGTTATACATGAACCTATATATAGTCATTGGTAACGTTTTTCTCTCTGTTAGCTACCATAAGGTCTTGTTTATATTTCCCTTTGTTATACAGTATAATCTTGTTTATCTATTCTGCATTTTGAAATTCCAATGTGTCCCATCCCACCCCCACCCCCGTGGCAACCACAAGTTTGTATTCTATGTCTATAAGCATGTTTCTGTTTTGTATTTATTTATTTATTTATTTAGATGCCACATATGAGTGATCTCATATGGTATTTTTCTTTCCCTTTCTGCCTTACTTCACTTAGAATGATATTCTCCAGAAACATCCTTATTGCTGCAAGTGGCATTATGTTGTCAGTTTTTATGGCTGAATAGTATTCCACTTTATAAACATACCACAACTTCTTTATCTAGTCATCTGCTGATGGACATTTAGGCTGTTTCCATGTCTTATTGTAAATAGTGCTGCTATTAACATCGGGGTGCAGGCGTCATTTTGAAGTAGGATTCTTTCTTGATAGGTGCCCAGGAGTGGGATTCCTGGGTCATATGGTAAGTCTATCCCTAGTCTTTTGAGGACTCTCCATAATGTTTTCCACAGTGGCTGTACCAACCTGCACAGTCTCTCTAGCAAGTGGTGTTGGGAAAACTGGACAGCAGCATGTATATCAATGAAACTAGAACACTCCCTTACACCATATACAAAAATAAACTCAAAATACATCAAAGACTTAAACATAAGAGAAGATACAATATACCTCCTAGAAGAAAATATAGTCAAAACATTGTCTGACATACATCTCAAAAATATTCTCCTAGGACAGTCTATCCAAGCAATAGAAGTAAAGCATGAATAAAGAAATGTGACCTAACTAAACTTAGAAGCTTCTGCACAGGAAAGGAAACCATAAGTAAACAAAAAAGACAACCTATGGTATTGGAGAAAATATTTGCAAATGAAACTGACAAAAGCTTGATCTCCAGAATATAGAAGCAGCTCATACATCTTAATATGAAAAAAAAAAACTGACCCAATCCAAAAATGTGCAGAAGTCCTAAAAAAGCTTTTCTAAAGGAAGAAATACAAATGTTTCATAGACACTTTAAGAAATGCTAAATATCACTAATTATCAGAGAAATGCAAATAAAAATTACAGTGAGATATCACTTCACACCAGTCAGAATGGCCATCATTCAAAAATCCACAAATGACAAATGCTGGAGAGGCTGTGGAGGAAAAGGGACCCTCCTACACTGCTAGTGGGAATGCAGTTTCGTATACCCTCTCTCACTCTTAATGGTTTAGATGTCTTCTTTTACAATTTCATGTTTATTTTATTTGTAATTCATGAGTTATCACTTTTTCAGTTGTGAGTTTCCTATTTCTGTAGCATAGTGCTGCTTTTCTATTTAGAGTAGAGCTTTCAATATTTCTTTTAGCATGGGTTTAGTGTTACTAAACTCATTTCGTTTTTGCTTGTCTGTGAAATTCTCTATCTCTCCTTCTTTCCTAAAGGATAACCTTGCTGGATAAATTATCCTCGGCTGCATCTTTTGTTTTCATTCAGGACTTTGAATATATCTTGCCACTCCCTTCTGGCCTATAGTGTTTGTGTAGAGAAATAAGCTGAGAGCCTTATGGGGGTTCCCTTGTAACTCACTCTTCGCTTTTCTCTTGCCACTTTTAGGACCATTTCTTTATCCTTGATTCTTGCCATCTTGATTATGATGTCTTGGTGTGGGTCTATTTGGATTCATCTTGTTTGGGACTCTGTGAGCTTCTTGTACTTGGATATCTGATTCCTTCTTTATGTTTAGGAAGTTTCCACTCACGATTTCTTCAAATACCTTTGCAATCCCCTTTGATATTTCTTTCTGTCTGGAACTGTATCATGCTTAGATTGCATGCTTTATATTATCCCATATGTCCCTTATGTTGTTTTCATATGTTTTTATTCATTTATCTCTCAGCTGTACTGATTGGGTGCTTTCTGTTGTCCTGTCTTCTAGATCACTTATGTGTTCCTCTGCATTATCTCATCTGCTTTGCACAGCCTTTAGATCAGTTCTCATCTCAGCCAATGAGTTTATCAATTCTACTTAGCTCTTCTTATAG